GAGCCTGCTTCTCCCTCTGCCTGTGTCTCTGCCTCTCTCTCTCTCTCCTTCTCATAAATAAATAAAATCTTTTAAAAAAATAAAATAAAAATTAAAAAAAGCTTAGCCCTTGCTGACCTCACTGAGCGGCTAGCCAAGGTCCCCGAACGCTTACGTCTGGATCTCTTCTGATGCGAGGGGACGACCTAGGGGCTGGGCCGCTGGGGGTCAGGGGTGGGGAGCGTGGGCGCCGCTGACACCTGCTGATCCGCAGGCCGTGAGGCGCGGCTGTGCCCCACGCCACTGTGCAGAGAAGTGAAGTCCCAGAGCAACAGACCATGAGAAACATGGGCCAAATGGCACTATTAGCGATACCAAAGATGTAACAGTTTTCATTAACAAAAGTTTGAAAATAACCCGTGCAGTGGCAGGCGTTCTGTAGTGATGGAAGATCTCAAAAAGGCCAAGACATCCTGTAATCAGATGGGTCTAAGTGGAAACATCATCTCTGGGTGTTCTGCCCAGAGTGTGTATTATGGCCAAGTCCCTAATTCAAAACCATATGTAAGAATGCTTTATCTGAAACACTGAAGTTAAAAATAAGACATTTAAATAGTAATCTCCATTCTCTCTCGAAAGATAAATGTGCCCATTAACCCTGGATGCTTAACGGGAGGATTTCTTACGCTCTCTTTGACCATTTTTTTTTTTCCCAAGACCTTCACGAGGAAATCAGTACAGAAAAAAATAATTTAGGAAGTTGGCTCCTGATCAGCTACTTCACTGAATTAAAGTGCAATCAGGCTCATGACTTTGAAAAAGAAATATTAAGCATGCGTATCACATAACTCTGTGAGGTGCGGTGCAAACACGTGGGTGGGATGGGAAGCGGTGGGGCACAAAGGTACACAAGACACAACACCTGCTCTTGTGGAGTTACTCATCTAGTTGGAGCAGGAAGAGAGCAACCTGAAAAGTTAAATGAAGTGTTTCAATAACAGTTCTAGACAGTAGAAGAGATGTCATAAAACAGTGCACGATTCATTGCCAAAAAGATTGTTGCTGACAATAACTGCTGCAGGATTTCAAAGAAAAAGGTCGTTTTGAGCTGAGAAAGGCCTGGGGAGACTTTACAGAGAAGACAGGATCACAGCTCAATGTGAGAGATGTAGAGGAGGCTGTGGGTGGGTAAAGGAGGCACATTATGAGCCTCTTAGAAAGACTTTTAAAAAAATGTGTGTGTGTATATATATATATATATATATATATATATATATAGAGAGAGAGAGAGAGAGAGAGAGAGAGAGACACACACAAACATATATATAAATATAAATATACTCTTCCAGGATGTTTAGGTGACTAGTCTAGGAAGGGAATTCAGGGGCCCAGATGGATGGAGCCTGGTTGTAAAGAAATACTGGGACATTCAAAAGAAAATTTGGCCAAAGCCAGAAACAATCCAAATGTCCAACAAATGAATGCACAAAATATGGTATACGGCGGAATATTATTCAGCCTTCAAAAGGAAGGTTCTGGCACACGCTACAACATGAACAAATGCTGAAGGCATTATTGGCTAAAGGAAATAAGCCAGTCACAGAAAAAATTCTGTATGACTCCACTTTGATGACATACCTAGGGAGTTGAATTCACAAAGACAGAGAGTGGAATGATGGTTGCCAGGGGCTGAGAGGAGGGAGGAATGGGGTTAGCTGGTTAATGGGGACAGAACTACAATGTTGCAAAAGGACAAGAGTTCTGCAGATGGAGGGTGGTGATTGTTGCCAGACACGAAGGTACTTAAAACAGTGAACTGTACACTTTAAAATGGTGAAGATGGTAACTTTTATGTGCATTATACATTAAGAAGTCTATTTAAAAGTGGAAAGAGAGAGAGAACAGCAGCAAGCAAAGGTACAGACTGGGGCTCAAGGGGCACAGAGTAAGAGAGAAGAGACTTGGCAGTTGGCCACCACAAGCAAGGGCAGCACCTTTCCCAGGCTCTAGACCCATGAGCCCCATCAGCTCCACCTAGGAATTCAACTGAGTGGTGAGCAAGTGGTACAGAGAACCCCTCTCCCAATTTTCTTTGGAAATATTGAACTCAATTTAATGAAGGGCCTTTAAAATTTCTAAGATTTCTGACCTTGGAAATGGACACCTGCAGACATTCACCTCCGCCCCCTGCCTGTTCCCCACTAGCCTTTACTCAGAGGATGTGGACACTAAAAGTAGACAATTCAATCCCAGAGAAAGTGCAGGTGGCCTCTGCAGGGCACCGGCACACGGACAGTGTTTTATTAAGCTTAGCAAAGAGGCAGGCAGAGCCAGCTTGGCATGATGGCTCCATCCGTCCGCACTATGCACCTGTTGGGGCTGCGGCCTGGTCAGGGTCCTGAGTGGCTCCTCAATAAGGTCAGTGTTCTGTATTTGAGAGTCGCCACATGACAAACCTGACTGGCTGGAAGTTGGACTGACCTTGGGTACCTCTGTCTTCTTGTGGATCCATCTCATCAAACAACATAATGAAGATGTCTCAGAGTATAAAAGAAGAAATGGGTTGGAATAAACTTTGGCAATATTAATCTAGTATGCTCCATAAAGTCATTATAGCAGTTCCTTTGGATTCATCAATATGTTGAGCTAAAGAGAGGAAAAAATTTTGTATGAATGTATGTCAAGTCAGCATTTTGTGTTTCTCATCATTACATGAAAAAAAATCAAAATATTTCTATATTCTTCAGATTGTGTATATTGGGGACAAGGTGTAGAAAATGCCAATCCTGAGGCTCATTATGATAATTATTTCAATGTGGAAGTTGCCATCTGGTAACAAGGGCCAGTGGTAATTAAGGACACATTGATAAGAAAACTCTTTAGGAGATAGATTTTTTTTTTCAATCACTGCTTAAGGATTTACTCCTTTTATCAGCTTTTAATTTCTATTCAAAATAGTCTGTAGTGGATCAGGGTATAGAACTACTTTATTTCTTAAAACACATACTTTTTTCTTCTAGAGGAGCCATTTTGGTAAGTCAGAAAGTAATGACAAATCCAATTATCAGACCAAAAAAAAAGTCGGCAAAACTGAGCTTTACAAAAGAACAATTCTATTACCTAGCCATCTAGGTCACCTCTAGCTGAAAACTAGGAAGCACCAGAGAATCCACCTGATGCACAGCAGACATTCAGTAATTATTTGGAGATGCATATACTCTCACGGTGAAATGGCTTGAGATCCCTCCAACAGTTACAAGGGGAAATTGGGCTAGCTCTAGGTCTTTTCAGAATTCATGGGAACCCATCAGTTGGTCTAAAAGTGACAAGGTTTTTCCTGTAAATGTGATCCTGGATCCCAAATGCCCTGGGCCTGGGGATCTTTTGCCTGCCCCCACCAATGGTGGTCTGTAATTCTATACTCATCAGGGGACGCTGGCCCCTTGAGCTCTGGTCCTCCCACTGAGTCTTAGGCAAGGTCTCCTGGCTAATGACTTGCTGAAACTGCCATTTTTTAAGTGGCCTACTTCAAAAAACAGAAACAACTGAGTATTAAACCTTCTTACCAGTGTCACAAATAGAACTACCTCCTCTGCATCCTTGGGCCCTTCTGCAACCATCTATTCTTGGACCTAAATATTTTTCATCGGCAGGTGGATAAGGATGTTGGAAGATCTGAAATTACGCCTGGCCCACGGGAAGTTTAGATCACTGGTCATACAAGCCTACGTTTTTATTCAAGCTCCTTTCAGTTTTTCTTTATTTTCTTCATTTGTAATTTAGGAAGAGATGAAAGATGGCTAATACATGGGTCTAGATGGGCTTCGGGAGTCTTTAAGGACAGATTTGTAAAAACAAAACAAAACAAAAAAAAGAAACGCATAAAATGTGTCAGGGAAATGGAGTTCCTATCATTTCACTCACAAATTTTGCCTTTTAAATGTAGTTCTCCTGCCAACAGTTCAGTGAAAGATGGTTTCCTTATTGTCACTTATTAGCCGTGACAGGTAGCAACACTGCTCTCAGATAGAGTCTCCCTTTGCCACAATTATCTAGTAATGCCTGCAAGGCAGACGACTGCTCAAAACTTCCTTCTGGAATGCTGCTCCCAAAGGCAACAGTTCAAAGCAAACCTCTAGTAACTGGAACACTGGCTTCTGCAAAATCCTCTGGACAGGAAGATCCCACCACTCCTGTAGCGATACCAGAAACTAAGACATGATTGCCTACATGCCAGTCCCAGAAAATCAAGTTCAGCAACCGCTCTGTACGTGAAAGCCCCAGATACCCGCACGGCAAGGATCACCACCGCCACATCAAGCACCCAACCACAGGCTGTCGGTAGAGGTGCTTCCTTCTCAGCAAGGATCTTTCCATTAACCTCCCCCCCCCGATAAAATTCAATATAACCAATGGAAGAGAATGTAAGATGGTACCAACATGAAATAAATGAGATGCACTACTGGCTTATTAGCCCCTAGACGTATTTACAAATGTGACATCAAAATTACAGTCCTTGCTAACAGGGCTCGTGACTCATAATGTGTAGCCACATAAAAATCTGATATATTTTCTATCTTTAAGTATCTTTACTGATTTCTTTCTTCTACAGTCCTTTTGTTTCTATGCATCTTAGAGCAGGGGGCAAGTGGTGGGGGGGGCCGATAAGGGGGGGGGAAAGAGAGATTTAGAAAGAGAGTAAGGTGACAGAGCAGTAGGAGAAGCCAGACCCAGAGTGTCACTGGGGCCCATCGGATGGCCGAGATGACCCAACAATGGCTCGCACCTGTCACAAGCGGCAGGGCACGTGGAAGTTAGAGACCCTTCCTTACCCCCTCAACCCTTCCACAGAGAAGCATCTCCGCCCATCAACCCTGCGGAAAGCGCACAGCCCCCATCCCTCAAACTGTTCTCTGAGCCTGAAAACACATGTAATGTGTTTCACAGACAATACAGAAATGACAGAAATGGAGAGTTAAGCATACAATTAGGATATAAAAAAAGAACACACTTCACTGTGGTAGATTTTAATAAGGTTTTAATAATCTTGGTAAGGAGCCACATTACAAAACGCCCCAGAATACGGAGTACAAAACTGCGAGGAAAAAAATAAAAAGGATTCATGAAAATGTTAAGAGCACTTTAAAACGGTAATGATCTTTAGGATAAAGAACCCATTTTCTTCTCAACAAAGCTACTGAGCGTGTTTAATAAAAATGAGAGGCGATGAGCGACGAGGTGCACAGCGCGCCCCCCGTCGCAGTGACTGGGAGGCAGGTGAGCTCCGCCACGCCGAGGCACAGCGCCAGGAGCACAGATGAGCCCCGTTACCGACAGATCTGGAATAAACCACCTCGAGGCAGGCTGGATTTCCTCACATTGCACGTACAAGGGAGGAATTAATTTACTCCCTGGTTGCGGAGCGGCCTTGGACGTGAACCATGCTGGCACGTGGAGGAGCGGCGACTCCTCGACACAGGAGCAGAAGCAGGTACGTGCGCCCCCTCCGTCCACACGGCCCTGCGGCCCCAGCAGGCAGGGTCTTGGGGGTGACAAGCGGACACAGGCTATCTCCTCTGGAAACAACTCATTACTCAGATGAACCGAAGAGCTCCCTGTGAGGCACAAACCAGAAGGAAGAGGCGAAACCAACAGGGGTCCCCACTCCTGGAAGGACAATGTGCCCCGCCCCTGGGGGCGGGGTGGGGGGGCAGCAGGCCAGCAGATGCAGAGAAAGTGCGCCTGGTTCACCTGTGCCATCCCGTTTAGGATTTGGGGGTGGCTGGGTGGGGGTTCCCCTCAACTCCCTAAAGCAAACACTTCTGCATTAGCTACTGTCATGTGGGCCCTATTTTTCTCTTTCCAAGGGCACTACACGTTATGCTTCATTTGGGCCAGGTGTTCACATCAGTGTGTCTGTTCATCCTGCCAGAAACACAGCGACAATTATTTATTTGTCCTTTCAGCACCTGTAGCAGCGAGGAGCGGCTGTCTAAAGCAGCAGAGCCACCAGCATCCCAGCGAACCCAGAGACCAAGGGGGAGGCGCCCCACTCCAGCCCTGTGCAACAGGCCATCCACAGATTCCTTTATTTTAAACCCTAAATCAATAGTTTAAACAGATGCAGATTCCATGTGACAAGAGAGACAGTGAGGAAGATTTGAGGCTTTACATTCTTTAGATGTCTACTTTTGCTGTACTGGCTATTAAAAAGTTATGTGTAACTGCAAGATGAAAGGCATTAGCAGCTTCTTAGAAGAGGATAATCCCAATCTTTTGGAGATTTAATGAGATGTAAATCACTGAAGCTTCTGGCTTGGCATGTTGTTAATTGAATCAAAGTCAATGACAATCTTGCTGCACTTTGGTGTGAATTTCCTAAACATAAGGAACAAAATATATCAAGATATTATCCAGCAAGTAGTTAAAGCAATTTGTTTACTTTGGCTTAACCTACATTTTCCGTGGGGAGGAAAAAAATTTCCCGGGATTCACTTGATATCTTATCTCTATAGGAGCCAATTATAGTGCACCATACCGAGAGGAACAGGAACCAGAAACAACGAAGACAAAAAAAAAAAAAAAAAAAAAGATGCATGGGGTGGCTCGGTTTGTATGTTCTCCAGCGAGCTGAGTTTGAGTTCATGAATTATCAGGGAGTCAAAGGATTTCTAACAAGTTAGCTGCACAACATGACACTCGATTACTAGTTTTCCCACCAGATTTATCTTCCTTCCTAAGAAATTTCTGCAGCCAACTTGAAATCGCTGGAAAGCAAGAGTAAATTTTCTTTTGCTTTTTGTACACGCCGCAAAAAACAAGACAAAACAAAAACAAACAAAAAACCCCAGCAAACTAGCTTTAGCAAGGAGTAATTTTTAAAGTCACATTCTAAGAATGCAGACATAAAATAAACCCATCATGTATTTTTACTCATTAGGGTACCTTCTGCAAAAGTTAAAAGGACAATACCTGGGGACTAACGGTATTCTTTTAAAAATAAGTAAAAGTTAATATCTAATTATTATTATTATGTAAACAATCTGGATTTGGAAGTCTCATAAGACACAAGAGCTCAAGAGATTCATTACGCGTAACCTCTATCCCCGGGGGTGAACACGAGGGGCTGGGTGCGTTGCCAATTGCAGAACCCCACTGCTGACTGCAAATACCGTCAACAAATTGCTTTGAAAGCTTTCAGTACCCAAAGAAGTTTCCACCATGAATCGAAGTGGCTGAACGTACCTGCAAGTAAACATACCTCCCAACCTTGGCCTGGCAAAGATAATCACAAAAGTCGCAATGGCTTCAAATCTCAATCTAAAACGTTGCTGTCGAAAGAATTCCTGGTGTCTCAACCTAGCAGGTTTCATCCTAAATTCTCAATGCCAGGCTTGTTGTACGTTTGCAAAAATTCACAAAGGCTTAATGTTAATAGTACAGAACTTGTGAATTTTACCATTTCGCGCGACCAGAATCATTTAGTCCCAGCCCCCAGAAAGCTTCTAATATTTAAGTACAACATCATCAGTCAGACTGTCTTCAGGTACTTCTGTCCCTGCTCTTAAAAACCCACCCCTCACATCATCCTGAGATCCCGTCACATGTAAAAAGATGCTTCCGAGTGTGGGAGTCAGACATCACGAGTAGAAATTAGACATCAGCCAAGGTCAAGGACGCTTCTTCATAGGCCTTCACCCACCTTCTCCCGACGCTGCCCCTGCTTACCTGAAGGCCACCCCAGCCATATCGAACAAGAGCCTTGCAGCCGTCATCTCATCACTATCGTGGTATTTATCAGACATGAAAATAACTTCTTTTATACCTTCAAAGGCAACAACAGGAGCATCCCCGTTAGTGTACACACATACAGCTACGGCAACAGACGCACAGGAGCAGATGGAGCCTGTAGTGTCCGCGATTCATCACCTCTTCCGAGTGCGCTCGCACACAACGTCCACTTGCTGAAATACGTATCTGCCCCTTCCCATACAGCAGACGATGGATTATATTTAATCTGCTCTCCAGTCTTTATGGATTTCTTTTTTAACAAATGCAAAGTGAAAACATGTCAAATAGTCAAGCCTTGATCCGATTAACAATTTTTTTTTTTTACTGCAGGCAATCAAATTTCTTTATTCACAAGGCACACAAGGCAACTACTCTTCACTTAAGAGTCTGATGGTTGGGAGGGAAGGTGCGGGGCGAGCGGCGTGTGCTGGGGAAAATCACAGGTAAGTGCCACCATGCTTCCAAAAATGGCTCTGCGGACCCATGCAGCCGGCTGCACGGCCAGCGGGACAGCAGAACCGTTTTCTTCTCCTGTCCCATGGGCCGTGTTATCTGGAGGGCCAGGAGTCTGGAGGGCACTTGATACACCACCCTGCTCCTCCACCAGACTCCGAAGGGTCTACAGGACGCTGGGGTCCGAGCTGGCCGAGGAAGACTCCTGGAGGGCCACGCACCACCAGGGAGGGAGCCCACGACCTCCTTCGACAGGAGCCCACCCTGGATTCAGATCCACCCGACCTCTTCCCCTCGGAGACCCATGGGCTCATGATAAACAGCCCCTTTAAACCACACATCTGGCTAACATGATAAGTCTTTAAATCTCAAGCTGAGAGTTTTATGGAGATAAAGTGTAGCTGAATCTTAGATGTGACAGTATGAAAAAGGTGAAATATTCAGAATACAATGGTGTAGATTTATGGTAACTGTAATGTAAGGAAAACTTAAAGTGGTACCATCCGAGTCTCATGACATTTATATGCAAAGATATGTTTAGGTCCTCAAACACCTACCATATATTAATACAAATTAAAATTTCATATACGGACTCCCAGCTGACCTTGCCTCTGACAGAAGTTCATTTCTCTCCCTCTCCCCCTAATCTATGCACAGTATGTCAGAGAATAGTAAATTGACAGTAATTATATGCAATGCCTGTGTTGTTTTTTGGCAGCTTGCAGTTTAAGAAGTTGCAAACTAAATTAAAAACATGCTAGGAATCACGGAGGATGCAATTAGTCTTAGAATACCTGGCAGCATTCAAAACCAAAACACGGGAAATCTCTTGCAAAGTTGATAGTGCAATTAATTTAGATCTAAACAATAGCAATTTCGGATCAAGCACTTCTGCAATGAGCTGCTGATGGGCAGGCAGCAATGCAAATGTGACAAATGGAACCGGCCCAGCTCCTACCTGCCTGGATGATGAGCTTCGCACATTCATTACACGGGAACAAGGCGACATACATAGTACAGCCTTTCACATCGGCTGAGTTTTTGTTCATGATGGCATTCAGCTCGGCGTGGCACACTGTGGGTTTGGAAGAGAGAGAGAGAAACTTGCATCACAACTCATAAGGAGTAAGGCTGCTAAAGCATGCCACCCCCATCCCAAAACATACATAACATAGACTCGATTTTTTTGCAAATTGATTAAAACAGAGAAAGTACTGGGGATACCAGATGAGGGCCACGTGGTCTGAGAGGTTGGCGATTTAGCAGCAAAACAGTTTGGCGGCCGGGGCCCTCCCTCTGTAAGCACCTGGAGCAGCCAGCAGAGGCCAAGGTCAAGTATCTTCACCCACCCTGAGCACACAAATAGCTCAGGGTTTCACCAGCCCCAGGGGTGTGGAAGCGTGCACATTAAATGGCTCATCTGTGTGTTGACATGCACACGCAGGGATATTTGTTGTGACCGTTAAGAGAGCAGGGTGCGATGTGAAGAGCAAGAGAATGAGGAAGTGGGGGGATCCCTGGATGGCTCAGCGGTTTAGCGCCTGCCTTCGGCCCAGGGCATCGCCCTGGAGTCTGGGGATCGAGTCCCACGTCAAGCTCCCTGTGTGGAGCCTGCTTCTCCCTCTGCCTGTGTCTCTGCCCCTCTCTCTGTCCCTCATGAATGAATAAGTAAAATCTTAAAAAAAAAAAAAAAAAAAGAATGAGGAAGTGAAGCTGAGCACTTCTATCTCGAGGGATTTCCTTCACCGCACGGTTCTGGGCCCACACTCATGCCAGGAAGATGCTGACAGAGGACCAGTGGTTTGTTTTATGTAAGGAACGCCTTCATCTACTTAAACAAAAGTCATGTTCTTGTTATATGGGCCCATCCCCCAATGGTCCCCAAACAGTGATCCAAGGTCGGTCCCAGACTTGCTTGAATTCACAATTAAAGGGAGCACCCTCCTGGCCACCCCTGCAAACCTGTAAGCCCAGCCAACTTCCCAGGGGTTGGGTGGGTGTCCCACCACCTAAGCCCTCAAGGAAGTAGAATCCCCTACCTGTCCGGGAGGCCCCTATATTGCTCTCTTACACTGTTATTTAAGTGTCTGGGTGTGTTGCTAACACTATAGTATAACCTCCCCCGGGGGGTGGGGGGGGCAGTGATTTGCAGACTTGTCTGCACTCGTCTGGGGTGTGGCCTGGGATTAAGAGATGCCCCGCATGATTCTAAGGCGCACACATATTTCACAAACACATTTCCTCTGGAAACTCCTAGGGGACCCAACACACACTGAACACACAAGTGCTAAAGCAAATGTTTGTTGAACAAATTAATGACAATCTGGCCATGGTCCCAATCATACAGAACTGCCAGAATTATAAATATGGGGCCCTCAGGGGGACCCCCCACCCTCTCCAACCCACCAACCTCCTGCACTCAAGTGGCCGTATGAAAGTATGGAAGCCTTAAATGAAGAGCAGCCTAAACTCCCAGCTCACGTACATTGTAGCCATGACATAGGCCCTGATCACCCTCTTTCAGTGCCCAGGCCTCCCATTTTCAGAACTGTAACTGTGTGATGCTGCAGGCAGAAAGCTGACCTGGGGGCCCTGCCAGGACATGTGGGGGAGTGCTCCCTCCAGCCCATGAATGCAATGACTGAGGAGGTCTTCGCTGTGTGTGGGAATGAACAGAGCCCTGGTATTGTAAGGAAATCTTAAAAAAAAAAAAAAAAAAAAAAAGTGCTGTGCTTAATCAGATCACAGCCCATCAGAGAATAATCCCCACCGGCCTCAGATGGACCCGAGCCACCATCCCTGAGAGGATGGGAGAGAGACAAGACAGGCTCTCTAGCTTGGAGGCCTTGGGGACACTGGCCTCAGAGAGGCCCCCCTGGTTCCGTCTACTTCCCTGGTGACCAAGATGTTCCCAAGCTGGGATTAACACTGCTTAGTGTTAAAAACAATTAGATGTAATTGTTTCTTTTATTTCCCCCTTGAGGGCAGAGACCAGTCGTGGAGGTTCTCTAACTCCCCCAGAGTCTAATGCGATGCCATGAACATAATGGGTGTTAAATATTTATTGAATGAATAAAGGAGGAAAAGCAGATTCCAATTATTGATGGTGACTTTGGGAAATACAGAAAGTCCTCTTAAATTCAAATGTCAAAAGTATGCTTTCCCATCTAATAAATATTTTTTGATGGTGTTGGTATTAATCTTCAGAACTGCAGAGTTTCTGAGTCTGTTCGGGGACAGTTACACCGTCGTCTTTTCAATCTCTAAAAATGGTCACATGGACAGGAACCATCGTCCTCCAATTCATCTAAGGCCGTTTGGAATAAAATTTAACATCGTATGGTCTGGACTCATTAATGAAAATTACCACATGAAACAGAATTCTCTTGGGCCGCATCCGCCATCCCTGTATAAAGGGTGGTTGATAGAAATAATACATGGGGTCATAAACAGAATTCCTTCCTCTTAGCCACAAAATCACAAGAAGAAAAATACAAAGCTTCTTGTCAGAAACATGAGGTCTACTGGGCTGTATGAACAACTGAGGGTCAGGCACACAGGAGACTCATTTTTTTTTTTTTTGTTTCTCCCTTTGATCTTTATTTTTTTGTTTAAATTCAATTGATTAACATAGAGTGTATTACTGGTTTCAAAGGTAGAGTTCAGAGACTCATGAGCTGTATATAACACCCACTGCTCATCGTATCACATGCCCACCTTAATGCCCATCACCCAGTGACCTCATCCCCCCACCCCACCCCCTTCCAGCAGCCCTGTTTGTTTGCTAGAGTTAATAGTCTCTTATGGTTTGTCTCCCTCTCTGATTTCATCTGGTTTCATTTTTCCCTCCTTTCCCCTAAGATCCTGTTTTGTTGCTTAAATTCCACATGAGTGAGATCACAGGAATAATGTCTTTCTCTGACTGACTTATTTCACTTAGCATAATACCCTCTAAGCTCCATCCATGTCCTTGTAAATGGCAAGATTTCAATTTTTTTTTATTTTTTAATTTTTTTTTTGATGGCTGAGAAACATTCCATTGGTTTGGAGTCTTCCAAGACTCCTTAAAAGGGACCATTCAGTCCCCAATTCTACAGATCCCAAACTAGTCAGTGACCAAAACAAAGCTCAAGTTTTCCATCCACATTTGACTTCTCCTCATCTCTGCGCCCCCTTCAACTTGTCATCACAAACACCCCCATCCAGCCTTCCCCAGACCCCCCTGGCCCACCAAACTCCATCTGATGTAACACCAGCTTCCTTCCTCGGCCTACACCTAAGAGTCTGAGGAGAGAAAGCCCAGCCGAGAGAAGCCCCAGCCACCTCAGCTTGGCCCCTGCCCAGGTCCATCTGTCTGATCCTGAGGCCTGAGAGGTTTCTGGCCACTCCTCACAGCCTCCACAGCTCCTACCCGTGGTCTCCCGTCCAAAAGCATCCTGCCTTTCTCCTCAGGACTGACCCACGAGGGAGGCACCATCCCGTCAGCCTCAGACCTCCCTCCACACTGTGCTCTGCTGGGCTGGTTTCTGGTAGGTCAGCCAGAGTGGAGCCTGGGGACTCCTTTACCAGGACTTGCCAACCACACTATCAGATGACAGGTGACTGCCAAATCTGCTTCAGGCCAGAGGCTAAGAACCTTCCCCGTACTCCCCACCTCCCAGGCAAGGAGGGAGGAAGAGCTTTGCGGCAAGTCAGCACCAGGTTCAGGGCCCAGTTGCCACTGGACGCTGTGGGGCCCTCGATGAGGTGTGTCCTTTGGGTTGGCAGGAGTAAGAGACTGAGAAAGTACATTTCCAACTAACTAAATAAAAGTGAGTTTTGAAACATCAAGTAATCTAATTTCTAATTACATTCAAGTAATCTTTTTCCTATCGTGTGTCCAGTTGCCTCCCTCCTTCCTCTAGAACAGCTGATCTCCAAGACAGGCTCTCAACAGCAAATCAGGAGCCTTCTCTCCTAAGGCCAAGGGCACCTGCAGCCTTGGCCTGGCTCCCCTGGGGACCGTGTCCCAGGTGGCTCCTCCCTCCTCCCATCCTCTCCATCAGAGGGTTTACTTGGTCTCCACTCTCCATCTTCTCAGCACTTCAGATCTCTTTTCTTCCTTTAGAGATGAAATTGTCCTGCCTACAACTGCAAGACTAATTTATTTTTTAAATAATCATTTCTTGACTTCATAATGTATATACAAACCTCTGTTTTTTGCTAAACCAATACTTTACAAACTATAGGTCAAGAAATCAGTGTAGTGAGTTACAAACAGCTTTTCTCCCCCTTTTTAACGAAAAGGATGAAAACAGAAGAATCAGAATGGGTCCCCTATGGGAAAGGTTAAGTCCCGTTCCTAAAAACTCTAAGGGTGTGTGTTGTCTCAGGCGTGAACTAAGTTTGCTGGGCTGCCATGTAAAAAGTGTGTAAAGATGGGGGTGCCTGGGTGGCTCAGGAGGTTAAACCTCCAACTCTTGGTTTCACCTTGGGTCATGATCTTGGGGTCATGGGATCAAGCCCTGAGTCAGGCTCCACGCTCAGTGTGGTGTCTCCGTAAGACTCCTCCTCCTTCTCAAAATAAATAAATACATCTTTTAAAAAAAAAAGTGTGTAACAATGGAAACCTGTTGACTTCTGTAATATGTTCCTAGTAATATTTACAACCACTGGAGAAAAAAAGGCTGTGATTTGTAGAATCTCCCGATTTCAGTGTGTGACTACTCGTGTTTGGCCAACTTCAAGCTCCCGGCATGACAGAGTTGGGAAGAGAGAAGCAGGAGCTGCTCAGGTGAGCTGGCAAGAGCTAGCTCCCACACACATCCCTGGATGGCCTTATCTACACCAAAACCCAAGGCCTTTCTGGTGGCAGTCTGCAACAGCTCTCTACTTGAAACCCTCTTAGGCACCAGATCCTGTGGAGCCTTCTACATCTCTGTGGGTCCTTTTGGGGGCATTTCCCAAGGTTTGATCCTGCTCTTCGCTTTTTCTCCTGTAGTCACTATGAATTCATGCATTTGTAGGTTCTCAGATGGCAGATCTATTTAGGAGAGCCCTGGAATCTACAATTCCCATCCAGTGTCCCATCTTCTC